ATGTGTTCTTACAAGCAGAGATCAGTAGATGAGCCGTGCTCCATCACATATCCCAGAGGTGAAGTTTCCACAGATAAGCACACATCTTTCACCTAACCTCTCATATATTTGTTTAATGTCAATTTTCTTTTTATAAGATTACACTAAATATGACCTTTGTTAGTAAATCTGTCCTAAAAACAGAAATAAAATGTTATACATCATTGTGTGTTTTGAAGACTTTATTTATCATCTTTCAGAGGTTTGTGTTCAAAGAACTTCCTACACATCAGATAATGTCACACTGACCTGTAACAACAGCTGTAATCTGACCGACCCTAAAACTGCATACACGTGGTACCAAAACCGAAGCAGAAACATCAAGAATCAACATATTTCAATTCATATCACTGCAAAAGACAAGTTTTCTTGTGCTGTAAAAGACCACGAGCATCTTCAGTCTGCAGAAGTCTGTGAGTAATTCATTTCATTTTTTTCTTTCAGTTAATTATGAATAAAAGTGTCAGCATACAGGTCATTCAAACAACTTTAAATCTTCCATCTATATTTCAGGTGTTCAGGATAAAAACTGCTGGAGAGTGAATTATGTCAGCAGGAGAATCTGTGCTCTGGAAGGATCTTCAGTGAACATCACAAGTGAATACTCACATCCTGATGACATGAAGCCAAGGTTTAAATGTTGGAGTAAAAAATGGAGAAAAGATAAAGTGGAAGTTGAAGAGCTGATTGAGGCTGCAGGTCGTGTGGAGTATCAGGAGAACATGAGGAACCAACACATCCTGACCATCAACAACCTGAAGAAGAATGACTCAGGAGGATACACATTCAGATTCAAGAGAGATCATGAAGGATGGGCACAGTCTGATCTGCCTGGAGTCTTTTTGATTGTCACAGGTAAATCTAAACTCTTCACTCAGCAGACTTTACTCATTAATGTCTGAACAGGAGCAGAGATGGAAGAAATAAAACAGCATTAACACTATATGAAAATACTCCACACAGATTCCTGTCCTGAAAGATCGACTAAAAAAGAAACAAAATATTATCTTTACTAAAAATGACAAAAACTGTGGAAAAACTTGTCATCTGTAAAATTACTTGTGTTTGTTGACGTCAGAAATAAGTTGTGGACTAAAAAGTTTTCTCTTTTAAGATAATTTAGATTGAACTTTGACAAAACTGAAAGTACAAATATGTATGTATAACTTGTAGTAAAATACACTTCTTTAATAAATACATTTCTCCACTGAACAGGAGGACTAAAGCACCAGTTTGTAGTAAAGTTTTAGTCAAAATCCATGTTTAGTGTGTGAGTCACAGAGATTTACTCTGAGATTAAATGTTTTTGATCAGTGCTGGTATCGTTACTCAAAAAAAGAATATATGGCGCATTACTTGTTACACCTTTTAAAAGTAATACAGTATGTCACTTGATTACTCACCAGATAAAATAAATCGTTACACTGCTCACTTGCTCGTTACTCTGTGAACACAAAGCTAAAAACACAAAGCAAAGATGAAAACCAGAACAAAGAAACTTTGAATTGATCCAGAGTGATTCTACTTTAGAAACATAACCAGGTAGAAACAGAGACTGCAGGCTGTCTGTTCATCACTGCCTTTGTTACCTGTTGAAGTTCAGGCTGCTGGGCTGGAGTCAGCATTCACTCAGCTTTATCATCAATCTGGGTTCTTGACTGGCTTTGCACTAGCATGCTGTCTGTGCAGATGTTTGCAAAAACCCAAAGTTGTTTTAGCAACGTAATGCAGTTGTTTTTTGGTTCTAGATGCAGTTTCCACTTTATCATCGCGCTCTGTTCTTTACGTGCAATAAAGATAAAAGTAATGTCTTTGCCTACAATCCGGAGAGGCTGTAGATCGCTCTACCTTTTTCCTAATCCGGCACACAAAATGAAATCAGCTGACTGTGGCAGGAAGGAAAATTTTTCTTCTTTCTTTCCACCCGGTGTGCAGATAACAGAAAAACCTTTGTAATGCAAGTAATGACATAATTGTAACTGTAATGTCATTAGTGAATTTAGTACAGTAACACATTACATTACTGAGTTACTGAAAATGTTTTGTGTTTACAACAATACATTAAACAAAACACTGCCAATGTTCCTCTTTCAGAGCTGAGAGTGAAGTTAAGTCCTTCTGCAGTGGTGACAGAGGGTCAGAGAGTCACACTGACCTGCAGTACCAGCTGTCCTCTGACTGACAACACAAACTACATTTGGTACTTGAACAGTCGACCTCTGACCCC